CAGAGTCTCAGTTCGCTCTCGCTCTCTCCAGGGTGACGGTGACCACCACGTACTTCGGCCACGCCGAGCAGGTGTCTCAGGAGATGTACCAGTACGTGGACTGTGGGGGGAACACCACCACCCTGCACGGGCACGTGCAGGTCTACCAATAAGGGAAGCCCCCCCCCCCCCCCCCCCCCCCCCGGGAGGCCCCCCAACCCCCCCAAACCAAACCCCCCCCCCCCGAACCAGTCACAGGGGCTCATCCAGTCTTCAATTCCCAACCACTCGATGTTTTTACGATTCCCGATCCGGCCGGCAGCGGCTGATGGAGGCCGGGTTCTTCGTGGGGGGGTTCGGGGTCTTACTTTCCCACCACACTGCAAACAGATGGCAACCGGTCAGCGGAGGGCCTGGACCGGCGGCGCCCGGACGCAGTGGCGGGATGCACTTTAGCCCGGGCGTTTCCCACCGGCAGGCGGCGGGAATGTGTTCGGGAACGCCGCCTCAAACCACTCCAGAGCCTCCGGGGACAGCGACACAAACCACTGAGCGCTTCCCGACATTTTTATCCGGCATCCTGTCCGTTCGGGTCTCTGGTGTTTTGCTCAGCGGTAGTTCTCATCCCATGGGGGATTTGTTTTTCCTTTTCCGAATCAAATGTGACCAGGTTGAAGATTGTTTTAAGTAAATGTTTTATTGTATAATTTCAGCAGCAGGTGCCGTTTAAGAGGAAAAAGGGATGGTTGTGTTTCTTTCAGAGCAAGCGAAGTGGGCTAAAAGAATCCCCAAACGCGTCCGAGGAAAATGAGCACCATCTTCCTGCTTAGCGTGTTTGGTCTTTTTTTTTTTCCTTTTTTTTTTCCCCTTTTAGTGAGTTTGTTCTGTTTTTGTGGGCTCTAGTGTCACATTGTGTTTGCTTTTTTTTAAATCCACTCTGCACTGTGCAACTTTAACCATAAGCTGAAGGCGGTTTCTAACCTTTTAAAGCGTTATTCTTTCCCGTCACCTTAACCCACACTAATGTTTCTGATCCCTTCAGGTGTTTCTAATATTTCAGTATCACGTGCAGTAGATGCCCATCGCACAACAGATCCTCATTAATTGTTTTTACACAAGTTCAAAGGAGTTGTTGTTGTTGTTTTTTTTTTGTTAGTTTGCGGTCGTGTAGGTACAATGCGACTCCTCTACCATTTCTGCTCTCTTCAGCGGGGCGTAGATGTGAATACTTTCTAACATCAGCAGTGGTTTTTGTGGTTTTCATGCATGAAACTGAAAATAAAAACATTTCTTCATTCCAAGTTGTCGTTTGTAGTTTTCTTTGCGTCCACCAGGTGGCGCCAAGCGGCGATTTCCACAGCTGGTGTTTTATTTAAGGGTCAGAAGTTTGAGCAGCAAATGTATTATATATTATTATATTATATATATTCAATATATTATTTATTATTTAGTCATTATCATCTATAATATTTGGATTAAATTAGTTGGATATGGACCAAATGACTGGCTGATGAAAAACATACAAAGTTTACCTTTTAAGTATTAAATTGGATTTTTAAGATGGACATCTTAAAAATATGCTCAAAATGTGAAGTCAGATCATTTGGACATCTGGACAGTTTTGCCAGTTGTTTTGCATGTGAAATGCAACAAAAAGTGCTAAAACCCCATCTTATCTGTACTGAGTTCCCCCTCTACTCCTCGGTATAAAACTAAATCGGCAGGTAAATATTGATCAAAAAGCATAAGACAGGAAGAGAAACCACAAATATCGTGTTCTCTAAGTTTAGGACAGGCCTGGATTCTTTCAGTTCCCTCTGTTGGTCTGAAAATACTGCTGCTCATCTCTGAAGTTCCTCATCTCAGATTCCTCTTCCTCTCATAAAAAACTACCTATTAATCTTTCACTTCCTTCTCTGCTCACGCCCTCCCTCCTGTTTTTCCCTTCTGGCGCTCTGGATAAAAGTCTAAATATTAACTGGAAGCCTGATTCTCCCATCCCAGACTCAAAAACAGAGGTGGCCGGGCTTTGGATCCCCGGTCACCGGATCTTGGAGCGTCTTTCGGGCCTGGTTAACTCGGGTGATTCCCGCCATGTGACCACCCCGGCATAAACGGCCACGTTCTTTTAAAATGGAGCCGCCTGCTCTTTTTTCCCCGATAGCTCCTGCACAGGCCGGAGCTTGAAGCCGGAGACGTCTCCAGTGGCCGGCGGTATGTCCACATCTGCTGCGGCCATTAAGACACCGGCTCACTTCCTGTCTGGGATCCAGGTCAGCGGTTGGAGGCAGAGCTCTGCGGGAATACCCGCAGCGTCCAACAGCATGTAAGCACTATCGGGTTTAACTCCAGCTCCAGTAGATTTGATTTTTTCTTGGGTCCAGGTCCATCCAAAATAGTTCTAAGTAACAGACCATGTCCAGAAAACTTTAAACCTGTTTGCTCTGCTTGATGAGAGTTCACTGAAGGCAAACTGGTGAGAAAAAAAAGCAACTTAATTGTTTAAAAATAAGTTTTACGGCCAAATTAAGGGTAAAAAGAGATGAGTTGGACATTAGTGTGAATCTGAAACAGCCAATTCTGGCTTAGAAACACACCGACATGACAACATAACACCCCTCAGGCTCATCACAATGAATAAAAAGAAGAAGAAAATGGCCAAATTGCCTTATAAATAAACCTTATAATGAACATCGTGTGCAGAGTCTTACCCCTTAACAGACGGGTAGATTCCAACCCCTGAATGGGAGTAAGCATGAAAAGCTAATGTATGGATGGGTTGATTTTTAACATTTAAAGGCTTTACAGACTGATCTGGATGTACGGTTTGTCAGTTTGTCAGAGAGAAAGTCTAAGTGAACAAGGTATATTTAGGTGTATTTTACATTCAGGAAAAACAAAAGGTAGAAGATGGTGAAAAACCTTAAGATTTTTATGTAAAGTTAAGATTTTATTTTTTATTTTGAGGACTGCATCTCCTTTCTAAACATTCGCAAAAGTCAGCCTTTCACAACCCAGAGTATCAAAGGTCTAATGGGCCTCATGGTTATGTGGACAGATATTTTCCTGGGAGTTAATGGGGCCGAATGAGCAGACATCTACATCCGCTACTGATCTGGCTGTGTTATTGTCATTAAGAGCAGACCTTCCTCCAACGCCATTCCTCATATATGTCTGGCATTTTTTTCCCTAAAATCTAGAAGAAAATGGGTTTCCCATATGTCCACGGCAGGAATCTGCATCTGAATCGTGTTCACGCTGAAAACTAAGGGGCTCCACATCGTTCTTTCTTCAGCCTTCAGACTGTTACTTGTAGTTTTCCTTGAGAGAACTATTATTGTATACTCTCTCTCTCTCTCTCTCTCTCTCTATATATATATATATATATATATACATTTTTTTGGTGCTTTTTGTGCATTTTCTTTTTTTTTTTTTAAACATTTATATAAGTCGACATATATATATCTATTTTTTTATTTATTTCCTTTTTTGTAATAAGTTGACCCAAATGATGAATAACACATTATTATTATTATTATTATTATTATTATTATACGTTAACCCAAATATGTAGAAAGCTACTTATTAAACTAACTATTTGCCAGTAGGACAGAGTTTCCATGCAAAGTCTGGCCACGGTTTGCTTTGCTCCAGCTGCCGTAAACCCCCCATCCAGGTCGGCTAGCCCCCCTTAGGACGCCTTCACGGCCCCGCCCCGGTCCCAACCCCAACCCGGGCCCGGCCCTTCCCACCCCGGCCCCGGCTCTCTGGTCCTCAGTGTGAGTTGTCGGTGCTGTCCCCATTACCCCCCCACCTCATTTCATAGCTTTCTGCCCCACCAAACGAACCTTAAAACCGGCAGCAGCAGCCATGGCTCCGGCCGGCCGCGGACCGCAGCTCTCCCTGCTGGCCTGCCTGCTGCTCCTGGCTCCAGGGGTTTGCTCCGGGGGGTCGGACGCTCCTCGGGGAGTCGCCCTGGGCTTCGTTTTCGACCCCAAAGCGAAGTGCGAGCCGCCGTGCGAACACGGAGGAGTCTGCATCCGAAACAACACCTGCTTCTGCTCCAAGGGATACGAGGGAGAGACCTGTCGCTATGGTGACGTTACCGGCCATAACTGCCATCGTTCCGGGTCTGACAGTGGAGTGTGTGTGTGTGTGCGTGTGTCCGTGCGCGTGTGTGCGTGTGTGTGTGTGTGTGTGTGCGCGCGTGCGTGCGTGTGTGTGTGTGTGTGTGGTTGTTGGTCAAATTTGAGCTAATTGATAATAGCTAATTGATCATTTGAGCTTCTGGTGATGTCAAAGGACTTAGAGAGCGGAGACTGTGAGATAATGACCGTGTGGTGTGTGTCTGCAGCCAACTGTTACCCCAAATGTAAGAACGGAGGAGAGTGTCTTCGTCCCGGGAAATGCAGATGTCCTCCTGGGTTCGGAGGCAGATACTGTCACAAAGGTGAGTGGCTTCGTTCGGAAAACGTGGAACGAAGCAATCTCCAGACTCCCGCCAGTAGTGGTGCGTTCACTGTCTCCGTATGTGTGTGCTTTTTTCTGACCTTTTGCAGTGACCTGCGACGGGGGGTGCTGGAACGGAGGGGAGTGCACCGCCGTCCACGGCGCGGCCACGTGCATCTGCCCCTCCAGCTGGGCCGGGTCCAAATGCCAACACGGTGCGTTCACGGACAGGCGTGGACAAGCTGCAGCACTCAGCAGATACAGCAAAACCTCTACATACGGATTTGATTAGTTATTCGTATGTTGGTTCAAGTATTCCCATTAGAATACACTGTAATTCATATAATTCGTTCCACAGCCCAAAAACCTAATTTATAACTCCTTAATAAATACTGCAGATAATTACACATTGCAATAAAAAAAAAAGACTTATAGACTATACATTTGAAAAGAAATCACTAAATTCACTATGTGAACTTTAAACTAACTTAGCTTATTTATTTTTATTTAATTTTTCTATTTATATATCTTTTCTATGACTGGTGTCATACCTCAAATTTACTTTGAGTCGAATATTTGTTCAAATTTCGCTTCGGATGTTGGAAAATTCATATGTTTAGGCATCGTAAGTAGAGGTTCTGCTGTTTTAGGGGCTTTGTCCCGGCTGCAAGTTGCTGTCATGCTCTGAAACCTTTTCTGTACCCCTGTAATAAAGAGCGTGCACGTATTATTATTTGATTGCTGACACAAGTCCTACGCTTCTTTGTGATGTCTCTCTTTGTGGTCTGTTCCCTGGGCAGCCATTTGTCCCCAGGGCTGCAGGAACGGAGGGGTGTGCGTGGCCCCGGGAATCTGCAGCTGTCCGGAGGGATGGCTGGGCGGCGCCTGCCACACCGGTGAGTTCAGTCCAGCGCAGAACCGTTGGGAGTTGTGGTGGTCGGAACCTGAGACTAACGTCTACATTTGTGGCTCTGTTGTGCGTCCTTGTTGTGCGTCTTTGTTGTGCGTCCTGCAGCGGTGTGCGCTCGGCCCTGCCTGAACGGAGGGAAGTGCATTTCCCCCAACAAGTGCCACTGTCGCCCCCCTTTCTCCGGACCTCACTGCGGGGAGAAGAAGAAGCCACACTAGAGAGGAACAAGGCCTGTGAGGACGATTACTTCTGCTCACCTCGTTGTTTTGTCTGTGCGATGCTCTTTTAAAGAAGCAACCCTGTTTAACTTTTTTTTAATCGAACAATACTTTCAGTACTGTAATTTGTTATGACATGGGGGTAAAAAATGGCATTTTATGTTTTCTTAATATTCATTAAAAAAGAAGAGAAAGAAAGAGATGGCCCATCGTCTTTATTGTCACCTCAGGAATCGGTCCATCTTGTAGAACCTTTACTTTGCATTACATCGAACAATATATGGTGCCAGTTACAAACTGAATCTTCATGGAAGCAAAAGCAAAAACATTTCATTCTCATGATAATTGTTAGCATATTCATATCACTGTCTCCCGTAAAAGACCTATAAAAGACCTAATACTACCGTATTTACTGGTATAATCTGGACTTCATGATTGAGTTAGGTGTGCGGATATGAAAAATATCCAAATATACTTCATTGTAAGGAAGTAGCAAGAATGCAAGATATTTATAGTAACACGTTGTTAAAGTAGGAGAAAATAAATGCGTCGATGGAAGGGATTTAGAGCAGGATATTGGCTAATTCTGCTCATTATTCTTTCCTTAAAACACCACAAAAGCCAGAACCTGCCGTAAAATGCGACCGATCGCACTGATTCATGGAAAATAAACGTTTTTTTCTTCTCGTCTGTGAGAGGTGCTGCTGATGCGTTTGACAGATGTGTTACTTTGAGCTATGAGGTAGTGATACACAGGGACAACAGTGCAAAACATCAAGTCCCTCCGCACAGAGGCGCACATACACACCGATGTCCGCCGAAACACCCGCACTCAAACGCATTTCTACAACTCCTCGGTGCTCTCCTCTTGTTTCCTGCCGTCTTTTCTCCTCCCGTTCTCCTTTTATCTTCATGCATGTGACGCCTGGAACATACAAATGTTATGTCAGTGCGTCCTGATTCATAATAGTTTATTAATCCCCGAAGGGAAATGATATCACTGCAGAAAAGGTTTTATTAAACATATATATTGCTGTTTTAGAAAGGTGGAATAAAACTGAAATTAGCTGTCAAACGTGCTGAAAGTTGGGGGGAGTCTGTCATCTGTGGGTTTGTTGCTATTCTTGTCTTTCGAAGCTAACAAAGACTCATTGAAACAGTTTGCCCGGAGCTTGGCGCCATTTGGGGTCAGAGGTCAACAGTCCAGGGTGTCAGAGGCTGTATTAACTGTACTTTTTCTTAGCGCCTGAATGCTGACGCTAATGAAATGCTACTCTAACCATGGATTACAGCGTGCCGCTCGCTCCTGTAGCCCAATATTCACCTTCATTGCACACGTGAGACCCTTGTAGCCCCTGCGGCAGTGGCAGTGGTCCGGCAGCACGCAGCGCCCCCCGTTCAGGCACCGCCGCCTACACACCGCTGGCAGGGTCAAAGGACACGCATCGGTGAGCTCACACAAGCTGAATATCATTAGGAATGAAAGCGGAGCGGAAAACCCAAACCGGGACTCACGCGTCTGGCACTGGAGGCCCTCCCAGCCCACGGGGCAGTGGCAGGTGTTCGGACCCACACACTCACCACCATTCTTACACTTCTGCAGGCAGACGGCTGCAAAGAGAGAGAGAAAAAGTGTGCAAACAGGGTCAAACCTTCCATCAGGATTGATGATTACTCCAATCACAATCAAATAGCTTTGGGTTTGAAGTGATGTATGGATAAATATTTCAAGAGATCATCTGAGAAAACAACAAAGAAAAACAAGAGCAGATCAGTTAAGATTTTACTACCTGAAAAAGCCAGACTAGAATTTTTTATCCAAGTCGTACACTTAAAATATTCTCAGTCAACAATAAGGAGAGATTTCCCAAAGATTTCTGCCTTTGGATTAGCATCCTACACAAATAATACCATAACTATTGTAAACAAACAAACAAAGACATAAATAAATAAATAAATAAATAAATAAATAAATAAATAAATAAATAAATAAATAAATAAATAAATAAATAAATTAATTAATTAATAAATAAAAAAACATTTTTTTCATAATTTCATAAATATATAATAACCAACTTAAGGCAGGATTTAGATCGACGTCTATCTGTTTTGACATGTAATATTTCAACCGAAATCCTGAAGATTATTACATATTGAGCACAGGATTCGTTATGCAGCTTTTCTACTATTTAAAAATAAAGTAAAGCCCAGCATCACTCACGTATGTTACATCTCTTCCCCCTCCATCCGGACGCACAAGAGCACGTGTTGGGTCCCACACACTTGCCTCTGTTCATGCACACCGGCTCGCACACACCTGGAACATGTTTGTTTATGTATTCAAAGACACTTATTAACCACTATGTTTCGTTTTTTGTTTGTTTGTTTTACACCAGGGATCTCAGCTTCAGCACACCTGCTTTAGATTCAATAGATCTCCTTAAAAGAATGTTCAGTTCTACACTAGCTTGCAAAATGCCATTGATTTGAATCGGGGGAAGCAGGAAAACGTCAAAATCTGGCAGGACTGCGGCTGGAGTGTGAGATCCCTGGGGAAACATCACTTGAAAGGCACAGGCTGTGCTGTTACTTACTCCTCTGGCACCTCTTTCCTGTGTAGCCTTCGGGGCAAGAGCACATATTGTTTCTCATACACTGACCTCCATTCTTACAAGGCGGACTGCAAACAGCTGAATTAGTAAAAAATGACAAAAAAGGGACATATTTTGATGCTTCTATTGTATCAGAGATAATCAAACTGCACAGTAATTCAATGAAAACATGGTCAGTCATGCATCTTTGATAACTTTACATTTATCAATGGAATTGTGCTCCGCGGTACAACAGCAGAGCACACAGATCTGGCATCTGGTATAACACACATATCTAGTTTTTGAGAACCACGCCCTCACCGATTTGACACTGAGAGCCGTAGAAACCGCTGGGACAGGCACAGATGTTGGGCTTTACGCATGTTCCTCCGTTCAGGCAGAGGGGGTCACAGAGAGCTGCAGGGGGACAGGAAACACATCCAGCCATGCTGGGTTTTGATCATATGCCGGGGGAAAAAACGGCTGTGTGTTTAGCCGTTTTGTAATGGTTTATTATGTGGAAAAACTGAGCAATGCGTGCCCCCTCGGTAAGGAGGGGCTCCGTACCTGAGCTACACGTCGGTCCATACCAGCCGTGTCTGCATTTGCAGACGTCCGGAGCGACGCACTCGCCTCCGTTTTCACAGTGCCTGTTACACACCACTGAGACAGAAAGCGGCTTCGTTAACACTCCCAAATGAAATCTGCCGAATCCATAACTCCCCAAATAACCAGCGAGGTGTACAACTACTCTTAGCAGAAGTCGGGCGACTCCTCCACTGATGACTGGATATCAGCTTAGACACTGAGAGCTTGTTTCCTCTTTGCAACTCTTCACCTTAAATTTTAAACTTTCCTTTTTGATAAAGCTTATAGTTGGGGATGGCTCAGTGACCCTGAAACATTCCACATGTCTGCTGCTATAGGCTGAGACTGCTGGGGGGAGCTCCCATGATGCACCTCTCCTCCCTGTGTTTCTCCTTTTTGCTCTTTCATCTCCATGTACATTGTTGTCATTAACTTGTATTTCTCTTTAGGTATTCTGAGCTGCTGTTTTACACCCTCTTAGTCGCCTTCATTTTTTTCTTTTAAATCTGATTTTTAGAATAGCAGCATTTGACTTTTTTTTGGTTTTCAAATTTAAGGACGAATCGTTCCTGCTAATTGATGTTCCGCCACTTTGAGGGATTTCCGTGTAATCTCACAGATTTCACACTTGGGTCCCACGTAGCCGTAGGGGCAGGTGCACAGGTTCCTGGCCAGGCAGGTGCCTCCATGGCGACAGGGCGGATCGCAGCTGGCTGCAGGACGACACAAAGCGGGGTGAACAGCGCGGCCGTCAGCCGGTTTCAAAGACCAGAGAGTAATTTCAGTTTACCTTCCTCACAGGTGGGCCCCCCGTAGCCTGTAGGACATTCGCACACGTCGGGCCTCACGCATCTGCCCTGGTTCTTACAATCGGGCTGGCACACGGCTGAGAGGGAGAGAAGCAGCACTTTGAAACGAGACGAAACTCAAGGCGCTGAGATGATTGAGGGGAATCTGCGGAGGTAATTGGTTCATTCGTTTTGCTGCCCCAAACAAACAGCATGGTGGCCTCACCTATGTGGCAGTTGTACCCGGTGTAACCCTCTTTGCAGGTGCAGGTGTTGGGCAGGCTGCACTCCATGTTCCTCCCACACTGATACCTGCAAACAGCTGACATCACAACAGCTTTTTAAGCGCTGGTAAAAGGAAAAACATGCGGATCGAAGCTTTCATTTCAGATCTTTGGAGCACTTTATGAGTTTTACTGATCAGCTATTTTTGTGGCTTTAGGAGACAATACTGAGACATCATTTGACATATATAATAGCAGCACAACTGGTAAAATGGCTGAGCACACTCAGTATCAATTCTGATACGGTGAACTACATAGTCCTGTACTCATGTGCTTAATCATTATTGCAAATAATTATCTGTCAAGCGAACATGAATATATGAGGCGTTTTGTAGCTAAACTGGAAAGATCAGCCAAAGGATCAACTTTCTGCTAAACCATTGATGTGTAACTAAAGACGAGAGTAGAAATCGACTCCTGAGAAAATTCTGCTTTGATGTGACACATGACCTGGTTTTTATCCAGTGTGGCAGCTTTCAAGATGGCGTCCATGTTGCAAACACTGCTTCAAAGGTAGGCCCCGGCACCCATTACTAGCTGGAGTATTCAGATATGTCATTTTCCCTTTTGTTTCTGACATAATAGAGTGTCCTGTGACTTTTGACCCTGTAATTTAGCCTATACGTGCAGGTCTGTTAATCCACTTTGGAGAAGCCCTATTCTATATACTTTTTGGTTTCTTCCGAATCCACCTAACATTTCTTGTGTGGGTAGTTTCTAGCTCTCGGTTCTGAAGCTCCCTACCTTTACATATGACTCCATCCCCGGTGTAACCGTGCGGGCAACGGCCACATTTAAAGGAGCCCGTGACGGAGAGTTCACAGGAAACACCAGCAAAGCAGGGGGAGTCTGCACAGGTCAGCTGCTGCGTGGGTGACCTCCATCTGGGTGCGTTCGAGGGGTCAGGGGTCAGTTCAACCCCGGTGGGCTGGCCTGTGTGAACACTGGGAGGAAACACTCTGGCAGCAGTTTGATTCTGGACGGTTGCCGTCTTTCTGTTTACAAAAGAATTTCGTCTGAAAGTGGAGAAGGTTGTCTCTGGGTTCGACTTCCTGTCAGGCAGTACTCTGGGAGAAGTGGAAGATGAGGATGGAGAAGAAATAGGGGAGGTCGTATCTTTGCTGGAACTGGACTTGAGGATATGAGAGTGAGCATCTGCTCCTCTGGTGACTGTACCATGACCTGTAAGAGACTGGAAGTTAGAGGATATGACTTAAAAAATGACAAAACAGCCTTTCATTGTCAACAATAAATAAATCTATTTCTCAAACTTTTTATAGGACAACGGAAAAACACTTTTTATCGCAAAAGGTTGTGGGCCATATAGAAATGAAGTTAATTTCACTAATGAAAACGATAAAAATCTAGGTTATAAATGTTTTTCAAGTCAATATGACAGTATGAAATTTCACATCTTATAATCAAAATATCATCTCACCAGCCGATTTCAGTGAAATATCGCAGCTAAAAATAATACAACACAGAGGAATGGGGTGACGGGGATGTTTATGGCACCAATAAATGAGGGAGGAGTGATGACAGGAGATCTCAGAAGGGCTAAAAAACCAGCCTGCAGCTGTTAGCTTCTGTTATGTATGTTTTAACGACTTGGACTGGTTCAGCACATGACTCATGGTGCGGTTTTGTCCACAATCCAACCGTAGATGAGAAGGTAAATAATTCAGAAAAAAAAGACCAGTTGAGTATAATTTTATCACTTTAGTGTGGCCTGAACCAATGTGGTCTACGAGTAAAAAAAAAAGGCACACCCTGAGTCATGCGTCTGAAAAATGACCCAGCTAATTAGTGTAACTATATTAATTCTCCCAAAGGATGTCATGAAGTCCTTAAGAAATAGTAATAGCCTGTGAAAAAGGCTAATAAGCCTTAAATACACAAACATCACATCTTCCTTATTAAATCTTTCAATTTTATTTCCCCATCTCACTTTCTCTTAATTTATCCTGATTCTTTGCATTTTCCTTGTATTTATATTTGCGGTAGCTATCTTACTGAATTGCATGCGTCATTAGTTGGTCATAACTCTCACCAGCTGCTGTGCATGCTTGTCCATTTCCCTGTAGTCCCGGAGGGCAGGGTCCACAGACGAAGCCTGCTGAAACATGGACGCTCTCGAAGCACCGAACCCCAGGAAAACACGGCCCTCTGCTGCACGGCGACGGGCTCGAGGGCCTCAGTGAAACCAGCGGGATTCTGGCCGGCGACATCACGGCCTTACTCGGATTGCCTGTGTTAGCTTGTAAGCAAACGAATGAGAATCATTTTAAACGTTTGATGAAAAACACCAAACACTCAACAGAAGAAACAACCATAGAAACTCTACATTGTGGCTGCAGAAGGTCTGAACAGATTGTGTTTTGCATCTTCTTTTGATCTTCTACTGTGATTTTTTTTCTGTAAAAATACAGATTTCTTGAACATCTCTTTGGTAAATCTTTTGGAGCAGCAAGCTGAGCTTTCCAAAGCCCAACAACCAAGTGAGTCCCTGCAAAAAGCCTGAATCACTATGTGATGGAGACGACTCCTTCAGGCTGCATTACAGGAACAAAAAGGGAGAGAACCAGGACATGAAACAGAACTTTTCAGGATGCTTCTTCCATCACTGTTTACTTCACATCAGCCCAGAAAGCATCCAGCTTAACCACATCGCACACATGCTGTCTCTAACATACTGTCAGACAACAAATATAAAACAAGTGTGACCTGGCCTAGGAGAGACTTACGGTTACAGTTTCTCCCATCGCCTCTGTATCCACGTGGACACGGTCCGCAGATGAACGAGCCCACTGTGTTGTTGCAGCTCACTCCAGCGAAGCACGGCTGAGAAACGCACTCGTCTATGTCTTCTCTGCACGTGCGGCCTGAAAAACACGTCAAACATCACAACGGTGCAGAGTGGGACTGTTTGAAAAAGTTTGGATGGCAATAAGGATGTCATCGTTTTACTCCATTGCTATTGTAACCATGATGCAAAACCATTTCCACTACTTTTAAGTCTTTTATTTGCGATTGGGTTAATGAAAGTGGCCCCCGCCTCTTGGCCTGTTCTAGCTGGGACTGGCTCCAGCCCCAACACAACCTTACTAGAAATAAGAGCTATAGATAACGGATGGGTGGATGATGGAAATTCTCTGGATTGAATTCTTGGCAAATGAGAAGGAGATCCTCCAAGTTTTCATCAAATTTTACAGGGAATGAGAAATCATTCTAGAGTAAAAACAACATGGCGGAGCAGTCTGGAGTAAATCAGTCACAGCACAGAGGTAAAAAAACACTGCTGCATCTGTTCAAGTTTGCATCGGCTTTGAGTGTTACACGACCTCTGACCTCGCCGTCACACAGCCGCCTCCCTGTGCTAACCTTGGCAAATAAAAACAAAATGCTACCTGTCATTCCAGGGGGGCAGACGCAGGAAAAGGAGTTGGGTCCGTCGATGCAGCGGCCCAGTCTGCAGGGGTTGGGTTTACAGTCGTCAACGTCCAGCTCACACCTCTCCCCCGCAAAGCCATCCAGGCACAGGCACACGTACTCCCCGCGGCCGGCGGGCAGCTGGACGTTGGTGGCACAGGAACCTCCGTTCAGACACATGCAGGGCTGCACGGACACCTGCAGGAGAAATGTCCCAACGGCTCAGAAGCTAAACCAGCTTCAACGTTTAGGCCTGCAGCAGAGAAGCTTCTGAAGACTGAAAAAAGTCAAAGTTTTCCAATTTTTTTTGTAATTGTACAAATAAGCCAACATTACTCTTATTTACATGTGTTCACGTGCAGCCAAACTACAGACAAAACATGAGACAACAGGATGATTTCTGAATAAGGTCAGTTTTAGCTGCTCTGGCGATTTCTCTAGTATTCTTATTTTTTTATCCATCTATTTTTTTCATATATTTTCATACTAGTAACTACTGTCCAATAGATACAACTCGGCCCGTCTGCCAGTTTGATTTATCAACAGGTCCTACATGAAAAGAGAAAAAAAAAAGACTCATCAGAAAAAAAACATTATAAATATTTTTCTAAATAGTGGAGCTTGAATTTGTTCTGAACAGTTTCTTGAATCTATTTCAGCAAATGTTGCGATCAATTAGTTTTTCTTAGTTGTAATTAATAAAATTACTCAAATTATTCACAGTTATTGACAATACGTTTCAATTACATACCATTTCTGCCCTCTAGTGGCAGGGAACACAAAAGGCAGAGAGGAATAAAAAAATCTGATTCGTGTGGGCAGGAAAAGTATGATGGTGACACCATTTAAGACAATTCTTGCTGGCTCAAAAGATGTGGAAGGCTCCTGTCAACAGCGGAGACTCTTCAGCCAAGCTTAATCAACTCGGAAGCATATGAGCCGTGAGTTGTAGTTTTCTATTTCAGAATGTGACAAAGGAACTTGAATAAACTTTTAGTTGTATAAATGTTACAGATTTTAGATCGTGTTGCACTAAAGATCAAAACTGCATTCAGTTACACACTCTGGAAAACTAAAGTACTGAGCTAAACAATCCAATGCATTTATTCAACAGAATGTGGGTATTTCTAAACTGGGGGGAGAAATGGCTTGCGTTTATGCAAGTGACACTCTCCTCTTCCCCCAGCACTTGCCTCCACAGACGCTCTGGTTTCTGCATTGCAGTGGTCTGTCACAGTAAAGCGGAACGTGTGTGTGTTCCCGGGTCTGGCAGCGGCCTTCCACATCAGCAGGCCAGCCGGAGACAGCGAGGCCCCCTCTGGACCAGACGCCAGAGAGAAAACGACCGCGGATCCCTCAGGGTCCCCGGCCTCCAGCTGGTAGATGAAATTCTCCTCCTGGAAGGAGCGGAGTTGAAATGGTGGCGGCTGGAACAGCGGCGGCTCGTTCTCTGATGGGAAATGGACGGCACGAGTAAAGCCACAGCTCACCAGATATAGACTGAGTGAAAACAAATGATACAAAAGAAAAATTGTATCAAGTAAATAAAGGAATTGAGGAATCTGGCTAAATTTGCTGAGCATTTATCTTTGGATCATGTTAGTTTGCATGAGTTTTTCTGCCCTTCTAAGGACTTGATATTTGTGTTATTGGCTCTAATTTACACAGTTTTCAATTGTTTAAAAATTGATAATTTCTTAATGGCCTAATCAACAAAGGTTAACTTGCTATGTTATCATTTATGTCTTGTCAGGATCATTATATCCATTTAGTGTTGCCATCAGTGGAGAGCAGAGCGATGTTTGACCTAGTTAGGGATTAAGAAGTAAAGTTGGTCAGGGAGTGAAGCCGTCCACATTTCAGCGCCAAAGGAAAGAGGCAACTGCAGTGAATTCAATCTGCAACAACCCGCTGACAAATCATCCAAACTGCTCCCAGAGGCCGCCAGCGACAAACACATGTGATGGAAAATAAGAACCGCAGAAGCTCTGAGCACATACTATCTGCCATGGACCAGGCGTGCCCGGAGAGGTGGGGACGGCAGGTGAGGCAGGGACTGCTGGGACTGGACTCGCCCTCCGTGTAACACACACCGTCAATGCTGCAGGTGTTCTCCTGGAAAGATAACAAATAACCAAGAGCGTGTCTTTAGAAATGACAAGAAGATTAGATTGCAGTTTCAGCCAGGTGTAAGTGGTACATCCATATCTATAAAAAAATATGTATCATATATGGTGAGAATTTGAAAAAATGTGGTTATGCACATTTAGGACATTAGAGAATTTAAACAATCTAATTACAACATCAGTCAGTTGGACAGTTCTTAAAATGGTCAGTCAAACTCTGACTCTGAAATGGTGAGTCGACTTCTAGATGTTTGTAAAACTTTACAGTAAGTGGGAATATGGGTGCAAAATGAATGATTAAATGCACCCTCCATATAAATTATTTTTGATGGTTTGATAACAGAGATGGGAATTAAAATACAGAATAATATACGTGAAAATTATTCCACTGATCTTCAATTATTTAATATAGAAATCATCAACTTCATCCGGAGACTCAGTTTAGCCCTGCAGTGCAGTTTCAGCGTTTCAGCTGTTTTTTTTTTCTATAATATTTTCTATAATATCATAGTAAACAGCTATAGCATAACAAGTATGTGTGTTTAATCTTTAGAGTTTAATTTTACCACCTAACATAATTCCATGCAAAGTTCCATTTGAGCTTGACAAAGGATAACAATTTAGCATCTGACAGAAACAGAGATCTTCCACTTGAGAAGCTTTAAGGACGACGGTGCAGTCTGTAGCATCACAGATAAGGAAAGAAGGATCCTTAAGGAGGATGTCTCACCCTCAGGGTGCAGACCACTTCTGTGCTGAGGCTGCAGACCTGGCAGGATCCGTTATACAGGGTCAGGATCTTGGCATTACTGTAGCTGTAGCCATCGTTTGAAACCTGCCATCAGCAGAAGCTTGATTACTGTGGATCACTGGGAAAAAGTATCACACAAAATAAACTGAATAGTAATAGCACAAAGGGAGTCGTTCACTCAAATATTTAGGAGGTGAAGTCTGGGGATAATCTCCAGATGATGCAGCTTCTGAGGCTCTCTCACAGTCTCGTGTTTACTTAGTCTAAGTGCTTTGAAAGAGTATTCCCATGCTTTCCTTTGTTTCACGCGCTTGGCAGCCGTGCAATCCAACTAATCTGATTCACACCACTGAGTCCATTCCTCTCACTGAGCCAAGCAGAAACCGAAACATCCTCCAGCCAATTCGTTTCTTTAAACAGCAATTAAAAACTAGCCATCCTTCACATCTGTCTGCCTCCTAATAATGTGGTTAAGATGACTGTGGGAGCACCGTGTGATTGTTATGTACACCAGGAAAATGAATGCTTTGAGAAGGAGGCTAGGGATTACTGGGAATCAGGTAGAGATGACTCAGTCGATCGACTTCTCAGAGGATTTGCCAGTGCGCTCTGCAGAAACAGAACTAACTTTGATTTGCCAGCGGGCCAGAGGTCCGTTTGTCCCCATTTCCCGGTTCAAGCCTGCAGGAACCCAGCTCTCCTGCTGGGGGAGCTGGCACTCCAGAGCTGTTTCATCCACAAACGTAGCCTGGCCAAACTGTGGCGTGTCCAGAATCCATTCTCCATCCTCAAACTTAATAAAAAATAAGAAGGGGGAAAAAAATAACAGGAGAAAGCAGGTATGTTAGCACATGAGAGAGAGGCACAACAGTTAAGAGCAGTTGGATGAGAAGAAACATAAAAATGAAGTGGAAATGACAAAGACGTAAATTTGGTTTAATAGAAAAAGTCAAAATATGTATATTTTTTTTTAAAGTTGTGTAAAGTGTAGAATATTCATAAAAATCTAAATTCTTGTAATTATATATATTCATGTAACATGACAGCTCAAAATATAATATGAAAGCTGCAAAAAGAAGGAACATCTTCCATCTCATAATAATCTCTGACTGTTCTGTTTAGGTGCTATTAGGTGAACAAGGTTTCCATCATGTTAACTCAATCTTAACATGCGTGGGTGTTGGGACTATAAAACAAGGTCAGATGTGAAGCTGGTGCTGACACACAGTACGACTATTGCTGGTATAAAAAAAAAAAAAGTTTAAAATATACTAACTTTGAATAATCAGAGAAAACAATTTTCCCAGCGTTGTTACTAATTGCAATCACCATTTCTTCTCATTGTGTTTGTGGTTGTTTTGGAAAAATGAATGATACTTAAAGGGGTAACAGATTATTAAGGCCAGAAGTAATTATCCAATCAGGGTTTTGAGACTAAGTCCATTATTTATGGATAGTTTAACAGCAGGTGCTGTATAATTAAAACGTAAACTCTACAATGGATGGTCCTTTCTGCTCCGTCAGCAAATGAAATTGCCTTTCTTCATAGAGGAAAAGCTCCACGTTGTGTGTCTAATTTATCTGTAACCGTGTTTATCTGACAGGGCCGATGCACATTAATGAACATTCACTGTAACTGAACCAGAATTAGCCAAAAGACCATTTAAAATCTGTAGTCCCTGGACTTATTCCAGTCCCACTAAAACTGGAATAAAATATTATGTCATGATACTTTAAATATATTTGAGGACGCCTGCAAAGCACATAAAGGACTGAGAAACGGAGGAAGAAGGAAGCAGAGTACCTTTTCTTTCACAAACTCACACTTGAGCTCGTAGGATTCCTGGAAGCCCTGACCGTTGACCCGGATGACGGAGCAGCCCCCCTGACGGACGTCACACAGGCCGTCCTTCTCCAGTTTGGAGATCTCTGGGATCTGGTCTTCACGGCATCAAAAAAAAAGCAGACGGGGGTGAACTGTAACAGCTGGAATTTCAACGCAAACGGAAAACCAGATGTGGCCCATTCGTTAGCCTGTCATCGGAGAGCTCTTGCTAACTGAAAGGCGTCGATACCTTTAAGGTGTTATCTGGGTGTGGGTGTGGAAAAGTGTAGTGCATCTATGAGATCAAGGACCTAGAGAAAACCTCAGATTCTTTGAGGTTAAGGTTGTGTGTTTGGGCGCGTTTGAATCGCTTTACCAGACAGCACGCCGCAGTCGTACGATCCGAATCCCGGGAAGCACACGCAGCCCCACTCTGAGCACTGGCCGTTCCCGTTGCACAGATCCGGACACCTGAGGATGGCGAGAGCGTCCTGGAGCCCCTCCCCTCTCCCCGGCTCCTCCAGGAGCCTCCTCTCGCACTCGTTCTCCAGCAGTGGTAAGGCGGCCCTCTGCCAGGAGGGCTCGTCCTTCAGCTGCAGGTCGGCCACGCACATGTCCACCGCGCGGCCCAGGGTGGGTCCGTCCAGCAGAGGCCCGCAGCCCGCCGCCACGCTGGACTCTGCCACGGCTTGCTGGCACTGAGCCTGGGCCTCCTGCTCGGTCAGGCCTGAGGGCGCGGGCCACGTCGGGGCAGTGTCCGGCTGCATCGCGGGTTCGTGATCCTCTGGGAAAAAGTAGGACCCGCTTTTTGGGCCGGACTGCCGCCGGCCTCTCCGCTGAGCCGAGGCCGATGCTCCGTCTCCGATCTTTTCTTGTTTCTCTACTTTCCTTTGTTTCAGTGGCTCCATTGAGCGGAGGAACTTGGCCGTGACGTCCACGGTGGGGATGACACTGAGGAACCGGAAGTTGCCGTGATCAGAGCAGGAGTCCGAGGAGCCGGTTTGCTGGGATCTGGTTCTGGGAGACGAGACGCGCTGCTTTAATGGACAGGCACAGAGTTTGGGCGTGTTTGGGGTTGTCAGATCTGAAGGCACGGAGTCAAAAAGGCTGCTGCCTGGAGGAAGTCTGCAAAAAGCAACAATTATTGGCTGTTTAGTGTAATGACTCATTCATAGACATCAAACTCTGTCCGCATTTAAAATGAGTCCGTCAGTTAACTGACTCATGATCACTAGATTAACTTAAATCAACAACAACTCTATAATCACTACATTTAACTGGCAGCCACAACTTTCCAGCCTGCAGATTCACTGGAAAAGCGCTGACCTCCATTCAGAGATGAAGGCCTGCAGATCCTCCGGCGTGTCGCCCCCCGCCGAGCGGAAGTCGTTGTCTGGCCGTCCGTCGTACGTCCCGCACAGACCCTCGGTGTGACCCCGGTCCGAGCCGGGGGCCCTCAGCGTCAGGCTCATTCCCCATTCAGACACGTCGGCACGAACGAAGGCCCCGGAGGAGAAGGTCACCTGCAACAGCAGGGAATGGGACACATTCAACTCTCAGAGGAAGAAACAAGAAACAGGTCCATATCCTCCTGAGACCCGGCCCATTCATTTATGTCCATTATAGTGGACATTTTGTCCACCTGTACCCCGCCTAAGTATCCAGAGTTACCCTGTCAAGCCCTATAGTGTTCTGTAGAGGACATCCTGGGCTTTCCAGTGATGTGCCATGTGATAGGTTTGCATGCTGGGAACTTTACTTTTTTCTTAAGAGTTCTTAGGTAAAAATCCCTTTCAAGACATCTTCTTTTTTATTATTTAATTATCTAAAGCCTGTTCTATTTTCCCATGCAAATCATCCTGTTGTCCTCCACAGTGGACATGCTATGATATTAAAATTAAAAATATTTTTAACAAAAATGAAATTGTAATGTTCTTTTTTTAGGTCCAAATACATGGAAAATCATAACAAAAAAGAAATTTGAGACACTTCTTTTCTTTGGGTCTCAGGAGGATATTTTATTTGGATCTTTTATGGATTGGAGGAAACTTAGCCTCTTATTTATTTTATTTTTTTCGCAGAACTGATTTTTACTCACAGTAACTTTGCGTCCTTGGTAGGACTCGGTTATCCGAACGGCGCTTTTCTTCAGGTCTCTGCTCTTCACAGACAGCTGGGGCTCGGTTTCGCCCATTTCCCCGTTGCACATGTCGAAGGAGATGACGTCGGCGCCGTCCCTGGCCACGAAACCACAGGCGCAGGAGGCGGCGTGCACCAAGCTGCCGCACTCCCACTGACGGACATGCACCTCAAATGGCCACAAACGGCTCTTGTAGAGGACAAAGGTGCCTATCTGGTAGTTGTCGTAGTACCTGAGTAAGAGAAAAGGAGAATCGTTTATCTATGCACCGTTTCTTCTGAGCAGCTCAGATCGTCATCTGCTTTTTACTGAAAAATCATTACAGTCACCACATAAAAAATTATTGAAATCATCAATCCTATACATTACAATGTAGGGTCCAGATTTATTTGAAGTATTCTAACTCATTAAGCAAGAAATTGAAGTACCTGCCATCAAACGTGATGACGTGGGGATCAGTGAATGAGTAGCAGTAGGCTGAGGGAACATCCTTAACAGCAATCTGAGAATGAAAAGACGATTTCAGATCTTCTTAGAATTTATATATATATATATATAAATAAAATATATACTAGATTTGGAAGGATCGTCATCTCACACAAGAAAAAGTCATTTAAAAAACAAAAACAAATAAGACATCATAATAAACAAGGAATAAGAGAAGCTAGTTCTATCATTTGCTGGAAAATAATTTGTCGACCTGAACCCGTTCCGGCGAATATCCGCTCCAGAGAAAATTGTGTGTGACGATGGGCTCGACTGAGATGTGAGTTGTCCGCTCTCCATCTTTAACAAAGTCCGTGATGGGACTAAAGTTGATCAGAGCTTGGCTGCAAATCCCGTCAGTACAGGGAGCCTGTGACAGCTCCACCACACAGGAGGACAGAGAAAGGTCTGAGCCCAGCAAAGCCTCATCTGCAACAAAATGATTTAAATTAAATGGATTTAGTGGATAAAAAAAAAAGAAAAAGTGGAAGAACACTATGCTTGTTAGCACTTCAATTCTAGCTTTTTCATGATTAAATTTAATGTAGCTCTAATGTTAATCAAATAACTAATTGTTTCAAATATGTGAAATTTTGGATTGAATCTATGGCATTATGAGATCACTGAGAATCAAACTTAAGCAGGTAAATATCAGCAAGTGAAACAAGAAATGATCTATGCTGAAAGTAAGGGAAGGATTTTTTACACCAGAGAATATCATCACCATCTGTGTCCTGTGAGAGAAACTGACACTGAAAGCAATCTAATTATAATCCAAAAATAAACTTAGCCTTATTTTGTTTAAGTACAGTTAGACTTGTTAAAAATAAAATTCCAAGTTCCAGCTTCGGGTTTTCTGACGTATCTCTTGCCATGTAATGACGCTTCTAGTCCTGTCTTGAGGTATAACTAGCATATGAGGGTAAGGTCTAACCACAGTAGCTGTCTGCAATGATAAATACATTCCACTTAATTTAGGTAAATTTGAGTCGAGAGATTGCGGCAGGACCAAAGTCGTTTCTCTGTGCCGTTCTCTTGCACTCAGACCTCACCTTGACTGCTGGTGTGGAGCTGCAGTGACAGAGCGCAGCTCTCTGTGGAGGAGAACGAGCCGTCCGGACAGGGGACAGGAACTGTGCTCTCAACCAGCAAATCATAAAGTCTCCCGTCCTCAGACACAGCACTCACCTCCGGCTTTAACTGCCCAAAGTATTGTTCAAAAGTCAGCCTGTTTATACACCATACATCACCAAGATACTTTTTTTAAGCAAGCATCAGGGGGAAAAAGGAAGACACACATTTTTTTAAAATATATATATATATAGATATATACATACTGTATATAAGTCTATGTATCATAGTTCTTTTTTTTTTCTTTTCTTTCTATATCATAGTTCAAGTCAGATGGTCTCCATAGCCTTTAAATAAATCAAGAAATGTACTTTTCATCATGAGAAACCAGACATGCAGGTATAAAATGTCAGATAATGGATGTATACCCTAATGCCAGCAAAGAACTCCAGACTTTCTACAGGAGGACTCTGAATGTTGGGCGACTCCAAGAAGAAACTGGAGCTGGAGCAGTAAATCTGAGAAAGGAATAGACCATTATGTGAAACCCTCAGTTAACTTATTTCCATGTATTTTTTAACCATTTTGAAAGATGAAAATTTTGTGTACTGTCTATGTCATGTTGAATTCTAAGTATTCTGCTTAGAAATCTGTCTGCATTCTGGAGGGAAATTCACACGAAAGACGAAAATCACACCTTGTCCCCCAAACGCAGGTTGAAGCCGTCCAGCTCAATAAAGGCAGAGGTGTGGATGGTGGTTTCCTGTTTGAGCTCCTCCTTCCTGCCCTCCGAGGAGAGTCGAGACCAGGCCACCATGTAGCCCAGGGAGCTGTTGGAGCTGCTCTCAAAGCTGCACTTCAGCTGAACGGCGTTACCCGTCACTTCTGACACAATCACTGGCACAGACGGGCTTGGAGGCCTAATAGCAGCTGGGGAGAAACGGGAGAAGTCGGGTGGATTGTCGAAACATGAGTTTTCATGCATGTTTAATGAATTATTCAAGTACAAACAACTTTACAGAGGCACTTAGATAGTACGGGTTTTGAATGAAACATTCTGCCTTCACATTTATTGGGATTTCAGACCGCACCACATTTATTTGTGTTCTAGAAAACTGCTTACAGACTGAAAGCTACTGCCAGCACATGCATTTGGCTGGTAATTTTCAAGTATACTTCTTTTGCAATACATCATAAACATGATCCACAGTTCATGTGAAGTGACTGTGGGGATTTTCTTTTACAATCCCACCCTGACAGGCTTTGAAATCCACATTTGCATGGACACAGACTGAAGACTGTCCTCCATTAAATCTAGCGGGATCTTTCAGAGTTGGTCTCTCAGAGGAGGTACGAGCCACAGGAATGATTACAGGAAACTCAGCCTGTTTCAACATTCATGTGGGTACCTTTAGGTTTTAAATATGATTTACCCTGCAATGAATCATAATGTTATACATTGGAAAGTTTAACTTAATTCTAAACTTGATAAATATGACAGAGGTTATGCAGCGGAGTATTAATTTATTTATGAGTGATTCAGACCACAAAATATTCAAAAGGCTCATTCTTAGAATAATAGAAAAGTTGGCTTTGGAATTTAAATAAGTTATTACTAAACATGTTCAATCCATTTATATCGTCCTGTGATTAATCCTTCTCTTTGTTTCCATCTTTGTCTACAACTAAAAATGGAAAGAGACCCAATGGATCACTGGATGCGTGCTCGGCTCATTAAGAGGAGCAGTGAAAGGGACGGGTTTGTGCATTCCTGACTATGTGACAACTCCACTTTTTTATTGTTTGGGTGTCTAACCTTGCAGGACAAGGCACAAACACAGCAGGAGGATCCTTACTTTTACAGCTTCCACCAGCATTCACCTCGCCAGCGCCACAGATCGGCAGCTTTGTGGGTTCGGTTTCCGACATGTCTGCCAAACAGATATTCATGACAAAAGAACAGAGGTGAAATGTAGCCTGGCTATTCACTCACCTCTTCTGTCAACCCCTAATGTATTATTTCAAAAACATATTTGACTATTTTAGCCCAAAAATACATTTTCAAGCCTCTGTTTTGACAAAATGGAGTCTGCGCACCAAAAAAAAAAAGCAGATGTGAGCTGTCAAAAAAATGCTAAAGCAAGAAACAACTCAGTGTGAAATGCTTTGCAATGACAACAAATCACATTAAACTAACGAATTATGAGCTTTAAACAGTAACGATGAAATCTGAGATAATAGCAATATTACATTTGAGTGCTAGCAACAGATGTAAGATGCATTCTTCATTTGCATGAGAGAACTTAGGCAGAAAACAAGGACTAAGACCCACCCTGTGCGCAGTAGCCCATGCATCCCTGTGTGGGCTGCAGCAGATACACAAAGAAAGCCCCACAGTTGCGCACGGTGACGGGGATCCTGAACATGCAGCAGTCTTTGCTGCTGCTCTGGAAGGTCTGCCAGGCCGCGCAGGCCGTCATGTGCCTGACCTCCAGCGGCCCCGGCAGCGACTGGCCCTCGCCCACAGACAGCCAGACTGGAGCCTGAGTCCCGCAGTGGTTCACCTGGATGAAACAGAGAGGAGAGGATTTTTACTCCCTGCCGTAGGTAGGGAGATATTTTCCCTATTTGTGTCACCGAAACCATGCAAACCAATCCAGTCAATGAAAATGCAAACAATAAATCTGCAAAAATGAGAAAAGAGGTGACACGTTTGAATAAACTAAAACTTCTTGCAGTTGATTCCGATCAAAAAATCAAGCTACTTAATCACCATCATCGTAAAGAAAAAAACCCTCATTATGTAACAAATATACACCGCCATTCCTGTGTTGTTTCTCCGCCCACCCCTTGTGGCTGTGCATCACCCAGGGAGAGCAGCTATACCCCATGAAGCCAGAAGCAGGCTGACACTTCAGATGGATCCTTCAAGGCTCACAGCAGGCCCCCCCCGCAGGAAATGAGACACATTCCAGCTCTCCTTGTACTCTCCTTCATACATATGCACGCACATATAACGCTAACTGTCCGGTCCTATACACCCTTGCTTGAAAACACACGTTCAGACTTCGCTTTCTGACACCTAGGGAAACATTCAAGTGATTGAGGCAGGCCTCCTCAGTGCCTCTCCCCTTGAGATCACAGATGGGGATTTCGGAGGCTGACATGTTTGTAAGATTAATTAAAGACACACACATCAAGACATCTACACAACGTGGCCAGTCGAAACCACATGTCTCTTGAAAAGACAAGAACAAGTGATGCACAAAAGGTCACAGTTCTGCTAAAAGTATTCATCAATAAAACTATAAAGTGCAGAAAATGTTGTGCATTTATGTAATATTTCTTTATGTGAGTTGGAAAAAGCTCCCCCTTACATCTTAAGTGAGGATTTTGATATCTTATCTAAACGTTTTAGACTGTAAAAGCACAATAATAGTCATAATAAGAGCAGTATATGCTAAACTTGAGCAATGTTTTTATGGGCTAGAAAAGGTTCACAGCAGCTTGTTTTAGTCCTAAATCCTAAAGATATCATTTTAGATTCTGGACTTAAAACTAGACTAAAAAACGTAAAATTAGAAACACATTGTGAGGCTGATGTGACTTTATCAAGTGATGCTCAATATGATGGATTACAAAACCCAAACACTGAGAAGATTAAGCTATTATCCAGTTTCCAATTAACAAAAAATAAGGTTTACTTGAAAATATAAAGAACTGGGAGTGGATACGACTCAAGTCACTAGAGTCAATGTGAGACAAACGCACAAAACCTCCCTGTGAAATGTCTTTACAGCAGAGATTGTTACCTCCACACACTGGGTGGGCATCCTGGCCGGCTTCTCGTAGATCTGAAACTGGTACCAGCCCGGCGTGAGGGAGTGGTCACAGATGAAGTCCTGCAGGGCCGACTGCTGCAGCCAGCTGGAGCTGAAGGTGGTGCTGCGGTAGGGGTTCTGCAGGACCGAGTGGCCGCCTGCCGCACACTCCGGGGGGAGCACTGCAAGCACAGCATACACCCTGGATGGGTACCAGCACCAATGATCCAAAACTTCTGGAAGGCTTTGAGCTCCCAAGACGAACTTTCTAGATGTCGAATTGACAAACACACTCAAACTGAATTTCTAAGCTCATTTCCAAGAGAAGATGGAATTAAGAGTGTGACATCTATTGAATGAGACTGTAATCAATCTAACAGGTGATTATTCTTGTCATAACCAGGTTCCATATTCACTTCAAAACTGGATTTACCTAAAAAAATCATGCTGATAAAGCCCAAAATTAAAACACATTCTCATTTAAGGATTACAACACAGGATGATTTACATAAAAATGAATTCTATAAAGAGGTTCATTCATCATGTGTATCTATTCATTTGTTTGTTTTGCCTTTAGGAGAAGTAAAACTGCTTTTCAACATAATTTGAAATACTAGGGTTAACAGTTTAGTGGAGGGGGCCAGCAAAGTGAGCCCCCAGGGTATTTCCCCTAAATAAAATCAAAGACTAGCAGAGTGGAAGGAAGTCCTCAAACTGTTAAAGAGAGAGCAAAGGTCAGCAGGTGAAACAGGATCCTCTTAAACATCAACTTTGTGTGCTTTTACAGCACAGTAAAAAAAAAAAAAAAAAAAGAAACTACCAAACTGTGAGAGGACTGTGTCTAAAAACACAAAACAGCCGGTGTCTAGAACCAACAACAAGTTAGTTTCAGTGCAAACGTTCTCTCTATAACAAAGTGAAAATGGAAAGTTAAACAAGCTGAAACCAGGGAGAGTGACACTATTTGTGTCTGTGCCAAAGGTTCTCAACCCTGACCCGTGAGGTCAGGTGAAAGCTGATATCCTGACCGGTCCTGGGGGCCTGACAGGCAGACAAGCTGCTGAAAGGGGAGGGGGGTGGGGGGGGGGGCATGGACACGCGCTTGTCACCTCATGGTCAGCACCTGGTCACTTCACTCCTCGTCACCTGAGCAGGAAGCCTGAACGGGAGTTCTCTCTTACCTGTCTGAGCGCGCATGGTGTTGCGGAATGGAAACGCGAGGCCGAGGAGAAGTTTCAAAAGAGATCCGAGTCTCATCTTTACGCAGCGGCTGGAGAAAGAGCGACTTTCCTCCAAAATAGCGCACGGAACTGTTTCTTTAAAAAAAAAAAAAGAAGTCAGCAGAGCTTTCCAACTCAGCTCAAACGATCTAACAAGACAGCGGGTGGTCTGGAGATACTTGAGGTGCGTTTAGGTTCCCTTTTTGGTCGGGTCCGGGGAGGCTGTGGGCTGATCGAAGACGCAGGAGCTCCGCAGGCTGCAGCATCCCCGCGCGTCTGCAGGAGGACTGCCGCAGACCCCCAAACATCTGCACACATCTGCACACATCTGCGCTGGAAAGCAAGGGAGCGCAGATTTCAGCGGAGAAAAACATCCGATAATACATAAACATATACCCAAACGTCAATCCTCTCTGTTTAGAAGCTGTTTTAGATTTCATATTTTCCAGTAAATGTCTTGAACGTACCATTCAACACCTCGGTATATTCATTTACTTTAATGTAAAACTGGGAAATAAACTTGAGATTATTCTTCCTTTAATTACAGTTGTCAAACAAGTGTATTTGTTCCAGTAATGGAATTTAAGCAAAGGATCTTTAATGCAGTGTGAAGATGTTATGTTCTCAACTTCCAATCAGAAATGAGAAAAGTTCACACCTAAATTGAACCCCCTTTAACAAGTTTTTTAAAACAGTATTTTAATGTTCTACTTGTAGTTAAAAGCTTCTATCCAGCTGCATGAGCCAAACTATTATTAGTCCAGAAAGATGAAAATAAGGTAGATGATGCCTTCAAATCCTTTTCAAAAAGAGGGAAATGTAGAACGATGGTTTTATCATATCGACTTACCGCTGCACGGCCAGTGATGTATGATTAGTCACCAGCCCAAACCACTAAAACAGATGCTCCCCTTTTCAGGGACGCAGACTCGGCCAGTGAGTGGGAATTTTGGACGAACCAGATATCACATTAACAGCTTTTTCCACCCTGCTCGTTTCCATTCTGGTGCTCCACCAGCGGACGCGCGCCTCAGATGTGGAGTTTCTCTGGCTCTGATTGTTCTGAAAAACTGATCTGTTCAGCAGGGGAAACTGAGGAAGGCTGCAGCTCCAGTAGAATGTAAATACTGGAGGCATCTTGAAAGAGAAGGCCGTGAAAAGCGAAAAAGCAGGAGGGAAAACATTTTCCCAAACACAGTGTGCCCCAAAATTTTAAACACAAAAAACTGAAGCCCAGAATTGCACCTATAAATTGATTATTTTGGTCCAATCAGGCGTCTGGAAAAGAGATTTAAATGATTAATTATAGCCCTTTAGAGTGATCTGTTCTTAAAGGGCTGTTACATAACTTGTCAGAAAAATCAAAGACGTGGAGTCTGGTGTTGTTCATCAGCTGGGGGAGGATTCTATCAGCATAAGTAAACTGTTTCAACATCTGGAACCAGAAGCCGACAGCTGTGCAGACTGATGCGTTTGTTTTGTCCCTGCTCAACATGGAGGTGCTGGAAAAATCCCGTTTGACTCCCAGTCTGAGGAGGAATATAACCACTCCCTCATAAATCTACCATCAACCTGGTAACAGCCTGGAATAGCCATCAGATAAAAAAAAACTCACTTTCTTTCAATCTTTCTTTTGAAACTAAAAGCAATTAACCCCCCTTGAGCCTCCTGGATGGAAAACTTGAACCTCAAGTGAACAAAACACAGAAATGTACATACATAGAAGTACACACAGACATATAGATATCATCAAGTTAAATAAAAGAGGTAAAGAATGTGGTAAACAAATAGATGTGAGGGCCTCGTCTAATAGTCTAATTTGGTGTAATTTTCTCTCATTACAATCAGCTTTGCAGACGTGGGAGAACTGGCAGCGCTGCAGTGTCCCCTGGGAAAAGTGATAGCGGTTAAATGACGCATGGAATATAAAGCGCGCATAATTATCTGAAACTACACCACCGACAGGAAACTGATTGCACAAATTGGACAAATGAAGAGAAAAGTTTCATCGAGTGACTCATGTACTAATTCAACAGTAATAGAAAGTGCGGTGTAGAGGATATCCTATATGTCCTATTGAGGAAAAACAATCCAAAAGAACACCATAAATGAAGCATCCCTGATTTAAAATGGTTAGTTAGGGCTTGTGTGCACTTTGTTGGGCCATAAAAGGGACGTTTTTAACACAAAAGATCACAAATGATTATTCCTGGGATGGTTTATAGCATAAGAGAAGTTATTTATCAACAGAAGTAACAGACTTTCACATCAGAAATGCTCTGGACAGGACTTCTCGTGTGTTTGAGGGTCATAACAGGAGCTACTCTCACTTGAACTCTGACCCCTGGCTTCTAATCAAGTCCTCTCCCCAGTTGATCTATTAAGGGTTTAGATTTAACCATCAGAGGGTGATGAAAAAAGGCTCCATACAGCTGAATCCTAAACTAAATGCAGCATTCTACAGCTGCATTATATTCAATTTTGAAAGCACTCCTCTGATTTAGAAAAAAAAATCAACAATACTGTTGATACTTATGGGTTTGCAGCATCTCTCAAATGATATTTTGCTCTTTTTGACCCTCCTGTATGATACCAATAAGATTCCTGCTCATTTTTCATGAGAGCTTCCTTTCTGTAAACTTTAGCTCTAAGCAACACTCATTTGTTTTACGTTCCTTTATTTACTGCTATGCTTTGACGAACAGTGAAACTACTTAAAGATAAAAGCCAAGTGGAAGGGAAGAGTTTGCTGTGGACGGAACCTAAACTCCTTTTCATGCTTTAGTCACAGCGCTCAAACAACAGCAAAAACAGATGGACGTCCTTACTCACTGTTAGACATTTAAAAAAAGAAAAAAAAAGAAAGAAAAACGCCCCCCAGATCGGCCTGGGATGCTTGGTTTAGCTTGTTTCTACACACTCCAGCAGCTGTTCCTGCATATTGCATAAAGATTGTTCTTGTTTTTTCTCCTCATGTTCAAACAGGAGCGCGGTCTGGTTGTCAGAGTAACATCTCTGGAGTTACTGTACGGCGGGACTGACAGCTTTGTCTCGGCGGGAAGCGTCCGATTGGCTCCCATAACAGCTCATTCTTAGCCCTGATTGCTGAGTGGCTGTAAATGTCAGCGGGTACGCAGACAGGGGAGGCCTTCAACACAGGTCTGAGGGGGTCAAAGGTCAAAAGGAGCCTCTGAAAGTGGCGGCTCCCGGTTTTTCCGGGGCCAGAGAGGTGCTGTTTGCTTTCAGCTCAGGTTTCCTGTTGTGGTTGCCCCCCCTTTGTGTCAGCTGTCCCGGTCCCTACAGACGCACAGCGTCCACTCTGAGTGCTGCGTGCAGAGCGGTGTGGACACGGCTACTCACCGGACGCCTCTTCTGAGTCCCAACTCTGATAGCTGATGCTGATTTCCTGCCCTCACCTCTCAGAACGCTTTGGTCCACGAAAGAGCCTGAATTTTGAGACAAGCTACCATGAACTGACCAATCCAAACTGCCGGCCAGCAGCTAAGACTATGACATGGATTCATTATCATTTCATGAAAAATAAAAGCGAAGCATTTGTTGGTTTATTCCTGATTTTCATATCTCAATTTTAAAAAGCCTTTACTAACATTTTTAAGTCACTGCTAAAATATATTTCTTCACATCGATGTTGTATCTAGATTTTATAGAGTAATAAGGAAATAAAGAGGCTCTCCATGGCTTGTAACAAATTAAATCAATAAAAACAAAAACACTTTATAGACTTAAATTGATGGAATTATTCAGTAGATCATTTAAAAATGAAAAATAACGAGCATTTCTAGCAGGTTTAAGAAGCCAGATGTTTCTCCTGTGACAATCAAAGCCGCTTGCACTAAAATAAAAATAATCCAGATGATTTCTCTAGAAGGTTGAGTCAGTAAAATGTTTTATATAGCCAGTAGACGATAAACAGCTCACTTTTACGGAGTGATAGCAGGGTGAATCTGTCAGATGCATCATCTCTGCAGAGCAAGTCCAGATGCCCGCCTAAAAATGGCCTCTTTAAGCTTTAACAACGTTTACATCACACAATACCACTGAAATTAACCTCCAAACACAATTTATGATTAAATTACAACATTTACTGTTGGAAATGAACCGTCTCCTCTTATAAACGATGACTAAAAGAATCAGTTCATACCTTTTCTGGCTCCCAGCTGTGGGATGTAAATGTTGCCGCCACCTTGTGGTCATCTGGACTTCTCAGGATACTGGAGCTAAACGTGGTCATGTTACTTTTCAAATGTCCAGATTTTAGATCTGGAAATATAACCCTTGCTTTAAAGTGTTTGTATATAAGTTTTTGTAACTGGATCAATGTACAGACAGGCTAGAAAAATAGCACATTTTCAGCATTTTAACATTTGGTTTGGTCTAATTTTAAAGACATTGTCTAATCTTATTTCTGGATTAGAGTGTCTCTCATATAGTGGGTTTCCACTTATTTAACCAAATATTTTCTTTATGCAGGAGCCATGGTCCATGTACTCTATGATAAAAAGATCCTTTTTTGTGGTTTGCTGAATGTCCTACTGGGCCTGGCCCACTTAACCGTTCTTCTTTTTGTTAAGGAGACAAAAGGGACTCGTTACCAAGCAGCACTTTTATGTGTGGTGCCTGTAATCGACACTCCTGCAGCTCTGCGTTTTGTTTTCTTGGAGTTTAACGTGCGTTCTCTGGGGGTTTTTCTAATGAGACATCTCCTTGAAATTTCAAGATAAGTGTCTGCGCTGTCAATGAAAATGACTAAAAATGAAGTGAGGCCTCACGTGTCCTCGGTCTCATTTGAAAGCAAAATTCACTTCTCTGCACGTCAGGATCTGATTTTTACGAGAAGCAAATATTTGAAACTGCCTGGGACAGAGGGTCAAAGGGACCAGTGGAGCACCAAGCCACCGGATTCCTCTGTGAAACTTCCCAGTTTTAGGACTTTGCTTCCAGGCTTTCTCCCGAACATTGAGCATTCCGGTCCCTGGAAGAAAACGGCTCCAAAGTTCACCACAAGGCACAGACCTCCTAATGCACTCGGCTTGGAATTAAAGTTTGTGAAGACGGGAAAGTATCCGCACGGTCCTTACAAGGACCCGCAACCTCACAACTTCAGACCGGCGAGTGTAAGCCAAAACAAAATCCCTCTTCCATTTGTTTGTCTTTGTTTTAAACATACACATGACCCCCGGATATGGCAGTTGTAATAATCTTTCTCACCACAAGATGGTGGTAGACACAAACACATGACTATAGACGTACATATGTGTACATTTATGACTATGCACATAACCCTAAATTGTTTTCAGCTTCATAAACAGCTCCCAGACATGATAACTGTGTATGAGAGAGACCCAGGGAACCTGAGATTTAAACTAAAGCACCTAGACACACGTAAGTATCCTTGTTCCAGGGCCACATTTTGACAGAATCCACATATATATAAACGAATTGCATCTTTTTTCTAGTGCGGACCACCCGATCCGGGATAGGGGTCAGTTCCAGAGACACAAAGACAAAGATGGACACCTATAAGGCGGCAGAGCCTAAATGGGATTTAAAACTTCTGCTCCCTCCTCTGTCATGGCCTCCACTATCAGCCTCCCACACTGTCAGTAGACCACGTTCCCGCTTCCATGTCAATAACTCATCGCTTCTTAGTCAGACGCTTGCTCAGTAGGAATGTTATCTCAAAGGATACAAAAAGCATGTGCAGTGAGGACCTTCGGGAACAAACGACACTGTTACAGAAGAAAAACTGTAAACGAAGCAGTTTAAATCCTTCCTGAGCCAAAAGACACCCAAGCACAGCTTGTGACAGTTACCAAGATGACCGATTACCAGGAAGTTTTTCTCCTTTTCCGAAAGTACAATCACACACATCCAAATAAAAAACAAATGTGTAATTGTGTCTCATAGATGAATACCTGATTCTTTTTTCTTTCTTTAAAAAAAAAAATGTATTCACATATTTGTGTCTGTTTTTAACCCCCGTAGATTATTAGCTTGATGCTAAGTCAAACATTACAAACGCTTTTTTTTTTTTTAAATCTAGATGTTTAATGAGGCTATAAAGAAATCTATCAAACTTTGTTCATAGTAGAGCTCCTTTAACTTTTTATCACTGTTTCCCAGAGACACGGGTGAGGAAACGAAGAGGCCCCCCGTTTGGCGACTGATAGGAGGAAAAACAAAGTGGGTCTGAAAAAGTTCAAAAATTCATTTTTCAACATTCAAGGTGACATTTTTTTTAGATAATGTAAATTACTCAGATATCAAGACCCTAACAGAAATATTTTGTGTGTGTGTGTGTGTGTGTGTGTGTGTGTGTGTGTGTGTGTGTGTGTGTGTGTGTGTGTGTGTCTGTAACTGGGCGACGCAAGCACATATGGTTTAAAAAGGGGATGACATGGGATTCTTTTAATGTTACTTGATTCTTTTGGATTTTTGATCAGTTTAAAAGCATTTTGTGTCACAATTATTTGTATGAAAAGCACTGTATAGATAATGATTGATTAATTGATGAGTAAACAAATAGTAGTGCAATAGTAAACAAAAACAGACTGGGAGGGACTTCTCTGTACTGACCGGCGCTGGCAGCGGGCAGCTCGCAGCAGATGGTGTGTCCTGTCGCCCACTCGTCCACTGACAGCTGCTCGTTTGCCACATGGAGAATCATAAACACGTGAAGCCAGCACATGTTCGAAGCATATCTGAAATAGCTACATATATGTGTTTAATGGATCGTCTGTGACTCTGCATAACTGACAGGCTAAATATAAAATGAAAGGAATATCAATGTCTGCCTTAAACCATGTGAGTCTGGAGCTGCTCTGTGTGTTTTTTTTTACCTCTCATGAATACAAAAAACATCTGACTTTAAATTAAGGAGAAAAAAATGCAAATATAAACCACAAAAAACTCATATTTGGAGCATTGTTGTGTACAAGCACTTATTTGGGCCATTCATTACACTTTGAACTAAGGAATGTTCCAATTAAAATTAGTAACAAACCACCAACAACATTCACAACATTAATATCTCATTTAATCCTTTGTATCCATAGATGAAGAAAAAAGCCTTCGGTTTACTCAGAGCCATCCTGTTCTGCATCACTTGTGTTTTTAGACCTTTCCCCCAATGCTAGATCCCGATAATAAAAAAAAAACAGCAACTCAATCTATGAAACAAGGTCAAAACAAGCAGATGAGCTAAAAGAAAGAAATCCAATGTCACTTATACTAAACATTCTAAGCAGCTGTGCAGATAAGGCATGAGTCACGGGAAGGAAAACTAGTGCTGTTAAAGCTTTTTATATAATTCACCCAGACTGGCATATACCTCATGACTTAATTTCATTATTACTTACTCTGAATGTGTCCTTATTTTAGGTTAATGTGATTAGATGATGCTATTTACATGGCACTGACTCCTTTGGTGAGGTCTTATTAGGTTCATTTCAGAATATTGCTGTGAATGTAAACATATACACTGTTTCTAATTTGTCAATGGTAGCCTTTTAAACAGTTTGCTTGGTGTTTGGTATCTATTTAGTTTTTTTAGTGGGATATGATATATAAAAGCCAATCCTTTGGGGGTTTAAGTGAAAACTAGCCACTGTTACGCTAGGGCCACGGAAATCAATATCACATTTATTTAAAAATAGCTGGTATTATGCTGTACTGTTTTCTGTATATTCATATCATTTACAGTTTAGGGAATACATAGTTACAATAATGGATGGATGGATGTTAGATGACTTCCTAAAAATCTTTTACTTTGTGTTCCTTTTCTGTATATTTCTATTATTTACAGTTTAGGGAATACATAGTTACAATAATGGATGGATGGATGTTAGATGACTTCCTAAAAATCTTTTACTTTGCGTTCCTTTTAGACACATGAGATTCTAAACAGATGCAATGTAAAGCCGAGTAAAAATACGCTTCTATTTGCAGCCATTGAGCAAGACCAAGCCATTTGTGTTAATTATCTCTGTAAATGCAAGGCTATTATTAGAATAACAAGTCTGGTCTGATTAGAAAAGAAAGAGGCTAATTCCTTCACAGGACTTTGACATTACTCATTTAACAAGGCGCAAAATACAGAAATGAAATTCAAATATTTTGAATTGTGTGGCTGAAATATTTTAATTTAGTTATTAAATAAGGGTAGTTTTGGTTTCTAATATTGCTAATAATGACCACTCATGTGCTTTATCATATGCAGAACACCACTCATAATATCTTGCTGGAGTTTTTCTACTTATATTCAGGGCGTGAACATCAGAAAACTACCAAGGAACTGATAGGGTTCAGAAGAAGGAGGGTTACGCAATGCTAAGGGTGGCCAAAGGCCAGCTACTGTTATCTTTTCGGCACAATGAGCAGCAGCGACCGTGGCGCTGTTCCTGCCCTCTGACCAATCGGTTTGAACGTAAACACGGACCTGAACTGGGCGGCGCTGTTTCTGCACACACTGAGCGACTTCACGACCTCCGCGTCCACACACACAAACACTGTCCAGGACGAGCCGCAGCCCCGGGGAAAGGGACGCCACATTTCAGGCGGAGTCCACGGTAAGTTCACAGTGGAATTGACCTAGCAACGGTTACTAACGTTCGTCTCGTGCGGCTGCTAGCTTAACTCAACTACAAGCACGCTGCACGTGAACGTAAATGTTTCTGTACAAAATGCTTCATATTGTTTACTTGGATAACTGTATAAATATTTTCTAAGCTCTCGAGTCACGCTTTGTGTACGTGGTGGAGCCAGGAGTCCCACCAAAACAGGAAAAAAAAAAACGTTTTCGTTTTTTGTCGACGTTTGAAGTTTGAAATAATCAGCATATTAAAGCAGCACAGGCATCCTTGTCTCTTATGTGAATAAGGTGACATTTTTTCTCAAAATTTTCCCAGAAGAGAGACTTAAAAAAAAAATGGTTGGGTATCTTAGTATTTGCTTTGAAAAATGCTGTTTGTATATGTCATAAGAAAAAATGGTGTGACAGACAGTCTGAGCAACAGGTGATCCCAATTCCCGGGCAGACGCGTGAGTGACAGCTGCATTGGCCAATCAGCGGTTAGACGGGTGAGGCAATAAACCAACCGAATCCGCCCGCAGTGTCCGTGTGGGCGTTGTTCCAAACTGAGCATACACGGCAGCAGTGTCATCAGCGGTGGAGCCACACGGGGCTTGGAGGACAGACAGGGAGGGTTTCTCCGTTTCTGGCAAAGGGTTCTCCGCGGTGTTTGTTTTTCTTTTTTGGCGAAAAGGGGTTGCAAATACTCACTGACCTCGATTCTAGACTGTGGAGTCACTGCAGTGGATTGAAAACAAAATGAGAGGATAGAATTGAAGGATTTGTCTATTGAGCTTTTGCACTGGTAGGTAAGAAATTTTGGACTGATAATAAGAATACAATGGTTGGCTCTCTCTGTAAATGTCTGCATATTTAATGCAAATCAAGAATTTATCCAATTGGTGTAAATGAAACATGTATTATCAGCCAAATAGTAAGATACAACTCGAGATTCCATTATATATCTAGCCATAACGACGTAAAACAGAGTTTACACGTTAAATCTAACAAGAGGATGAGGTCAAAATTCATGAAATGAAGTATTTTTATTGAGATTTTTCAGTCACTATCCGGTAACAAGTGTCTAACCTGTTATGAATATGCAGCATTCTCCCATGTGTAAGAGCTGTATGGTGATGAACTGAAATGACGTGTTTTGGTCATTATATTCCTCTGAAAAAGTACTGCTTGTTAAAATAACCCTCAGGCCTCTAATAACCACTCTATTTGCATAGTCTGTGCCCTGATCTTCTAATTAAAGTGGCATTATTAGTCTGTGTGTGGTAAACTACCCTCCTGTTTGCTACTTGGGGCAGCAGAATAAGTTTGAAGCACCATCTTAACAACGCATGAATATGGTTATTTTTATTTGCCAGCAGTCTTTTACATTTTTTTTCCTAAAAGTTACAGGTCAGTTAGAGTTCATGGTTTAATATTAGCTGTGTTTTGGTCCTCTCTTGAGGGAAATTATTTTCCTTATTAGCTTGCAGAACCCTCCCTTTTATGAACAAAGTTTTTCTCTTCTTAAGACTAGATTTATGTAGAATTATAGTTTTTAGTCTGGAAAACCTAACCTTATTACTAGAATGATCATCATATTCTAATTGTTGTTTATTCAATATATTTAGGATTTAAGTCTCATCTAGCCAAAAGTAGTACAACTCTGTTGGCCTGTAGCCAGACTTCGTCGATGCTATGGACTGGTTTATAGCCAGTTGGATTAAGAATTTATTGAAGTTTCCTTCCATCTGGATTTCTTGTCCTCTTTCCTATTTTATCGCCTCTCCCTAAAGTCGTGGCTCTTTCTTTGCTCATGGTTAGGTAAACTGCGCCCCCTACACTCTACAACTCCACGTTAGGAGAGTGGTTATTGCATCACTTCAGACGTTTGTCAGATAATTGGAACAGTAAACACACAAAGGCTTGAAACAGCAGCAATTAGAATCTGAGCCTAAAAAAAGTGTATGCTTTTTTTCTTTTCTTTTTTTTCTCTCTCGGTTTGACGCTCCGCTGCGTCAGCTGTCATGGCTGCTCGTGTCCAGACCTGCTGCTGTTTACTAAAAGTTACACGGTCTGATTAGAATTGAGGCTGCTTCTGTCAGTCATCTTTCAGCCAAACTAACCTGCATTGTCTTTTCAGGTGGTCGCTGCTATTATTTTGGATTTTAAGCACACCTGAGGCCGTTTCCTGCACATCTGCCTCGTACCCCTTTGACCACCCGTCCTTCCCCATGCGAGAAGATGGGGAATGGACTCTCCGAGCAGCCTGGCTTCCTCTCAAGCGTCTCGTTCTTCCAGTCCTTTCACATCGCCATCCTCGGACTCGACTCTGCCGGGAAGACGACCGTCCTGTACCGGCTGCAGTTTAACGAATTCGTCAACACCGTGCCCACCAAGGGCTTCAATGCGGAGAAAGTCAAAGTATCCCTGGGTGGCAACCGGACCGTGACCTTCCACTTTTGGGACGTGGGCGGTCAGGAGAAGCTGCGGCCGCTGTGGAAGTCGTACACGCGCTGCACCGACGGCATAATTTTCGTGGTGGACTCCGTGGACGCCGAGCGCATGGAGGAGGCCAAGACCGAGCTCCACAAGATAGCCAAGACCTCCGAGAACCAGGGGGTGCCGCTGCTGGTGGTGGCCAACAAGCAGGACCTGAGGAACTCCCTGGGACTAAGTGACATCGAAAAGCTGCTGGCGCTGAAGGAGCTGGGCCCGGCCACGCCCTGGCACCTGCAGCCGTCCTGCGCCATCATAGGGGACGGACTCAGCGACGGCCTGGACAAACTCCACGACATGATCCTGAAGAGGAGGAAGGTGCTGCGGCAGCAGAGGAGAAAGAGATAAAAACCCCACCACCAAGATTGGATTCTCCAACGTTATATGTGAAGGAAAAATGTCTCCCGGGTGGTTCTACAGTTCCACCGCGGGTTTAGGTTGACGGCACTGAGTTTTATCAGTCGGAACTCGAGCTTTAGGTTCCCGGTCATGGTCGTACGTTTGCGCTGTTGATCAGGAGGTGAGAGAAAGGAACACGGTATGAAAACAAGAAGGTTTCAAATGTTGGGATGTGTTGAGAGTTGGTGAAAGCGGGGAGGGTTCGGGGTGTGGATGGGTGGGTTAAAGTTGTTTAAAGGATGATGTAGAAGTTTTCCAACAGCTGTTTCAAACAATATTACCAAAAATAATTTAAGAAGAGGCTGTGACAGTTGAAGGGATCGATGGAAAATGATTGGTGTCGTGCCTGAGAGGCCATTTTATTTCACTGTCAAATATGCTGTTAAAACTTGCTCATTTTTCACACTGGACGTTTTTTCGAGAAAGAGAAGTATTATGAATTATCGCAGTATCATCAGTTTGCTTGCTGACCTATATCGTTTGTCTTTTTTTAAAGCACTTTAGATCATCACTTTGTTTGGAGTTTACAGGTTTAAAGTAGATGAGGTGTTTGACCCTTAAGGCGACTGTACAGCCGTTTTGTCCACACTGGCCTCGTTGTCGTGAGACAAGTTGTGCTTTATGTTTTGCTAAATAAAGAATGTTTAGAACGACTCGCGGCCGAATGGAAGCCCTCTCATTTCCAGAGTTTCAATTTGCGTAAAACTCAGCCCGAACTTGTGGAAGCTGCCGTACATTTCCACAGAACGAACGAGACGAAAACACCCCGCAGAGACTCACTGAACACGTGTTCACAGAAGAGCCGCCGGCGTTCAGGGAGGTGGGGGGGGGCATGCATGCCAAGTCAACCTAACCACTAATTATCCCTCTACGCACTTACCTTTGGTTCATTTAATGCATCTTGCACAGCCAATGTGTCGACACATTCCAAACCTGAAGGCCCACACGACAACCTGGAGTACACGCATCAGAGAGGTTGGAGCTGGGGGGGCGGGTGGTTAGAGTTTAGGGTTAGAGCGCAGAGACGAGCGGCGCTCTGACACGTTGCAGCTCAAACCGGTCGTCCTCGGGGCTTGAAAATGCTGCCGGGGCGGTCTGCGTGCCAAAGCCGGCCCGACAGGCCGGGGCGGGGCGGGCGGCACCCGCCAAAGCGCTTGTGGACCGCGCTCATCAACTCCACTTGTTCCTCCATTCTTCTGAGAGCATTAGCCGCAACTGGCCGGGGGCAGCTGCTGGCTCCCCTGGACAACAGCCTGACGCACACAGGCCAGTTATGGGACTGATCTCTTACACTTGGAAGTGCACGAAACGGCCCTTTAATGTCCAAACAAAGTAAAAGAGTTTGTTTTTGTGTCTTCATTAAGGCTCAAAAGCAGGAGAGGAGCAGAAATGACCCACAGAAATGACCCACAGTGCCCTGGCTCGGGTTTCCCAGAACGCCCCGCTCGGTCGGAGGTTGATGAATCGTGTTTTTGTGTTTGAAAAACCCAGGTGCCTCTTCCTAACGTGTTTGCCAAGGAAGGAAATTGTAAGGGCAAAGGCACGATCACACTTTTCCTGATTCTAGCTTCCCTTTCCTAGCACACCACACTGGCTCTGTGTGTGTGTGTGTGTGTGTGTGAGTGTGTGTGTGTGTGTGTCCTGCCCTGCTTTGGACGCTGAGCAAAGTACCTCAGGTCATTTCTTTTGATCTGCTGCAGCACTCATCAGGGGATTACTGTAATAAAGCTTATTTCCTCTGTTGAGCTTCAGATTTTGCCGGCATGGGTTGAATTCCCTAAACAGACATGGATTCTGGAATATCATCTTATTTTTTTTATTTATTTTTTTGCTTCATTTGCTTGATCATATTTAATCCCTGTTCTTGGTCATGTTAGCATGTTGTCCCATTCTTTCGAGGTCCTGAGGGAGGTGTTCTCTGCCGGGATAAAGAGGCAAACTTCCATTAACCCATCAACTTTGGAACCGGAGCATTGGAAGCAGCACCGTCTCCGTCAGCGTTCCCTGTTTGGATCTGCTCATCCAGAAGACTTTCCCATTCATTAGCGCTTTTAAACTGAGCCGGAGCCATCTCAGCTGTTCTTGCACAGAGACGCCTGAAGCCTGATTGAATTTGGCAGTTTTTCTTTTTTCTTTTTTTTTGTTCGCGTTGGGATGCGTGCGGCTGAACACAGGACAAAATGTTCCACCATGTGAGAACATCTTTTTTTTTTTTCTTTCTTTTTTTCCCCCACACAACATCTGACTAAGCTACACACTGGGAGGAGCTTTTGATTCCAGGAGGATTTCTCAGCGCTGTAGTTTCCTTTTTAATGATATCTTTGGTGTTACACAACGCAGTCACACCCCTGGAACTCCTAAACATAGAAACACAAGCGGCGCAGCGTTCCGTGGACATTTTAATTGCACTGTATGTTGTCACCATACATTTTAATCTTTTTTTTTAAAAGTTGGTCCCACGAAATCAAGTTTCTCCTTCATCTTAAGAGGAGACAGTTACACAATACCCATGAGCCGGAGTCTGTTTTTACAGGCAGGGGGCCGGCCAGAAAACAAATAAATTCAGAAGCCTTCTTGTAAAATCCACACCGTGACATGTAGATGCTGCTTTTTAGAATATTTAAGACTGGGCCTTGTTTGAAAATGCCCCTATATTTTTTATTCAATACCAAGAAAACATGTATTTGGTCTGGGATACTGTTCACTCGGTCAAACATGGCTAACCGCCGCTAACCCGGACTGACAGGAAAAGTTGATCAAGCCTTTGCTTATTGATTCGTGGTGACGTTGGTTTCTGTTTTTCCGCTGCTGCCCACCGCAGAAATAGCTGCACAATTTGTCACCGCACTAAGGCACCTTTACTGTGTTTTAGGTGTGTGCGAATCACCTCTGTTGTCGGTACACGTCGACTTCTTCTTTTTCCCGCTGATTTAACTCGAAGAATAAAACAAGAACTCAAACAAGGGCACAGGAATGGAGCCGTCAGTGATTTGTTGTCTTAATTTCTCCAGAATTAGCTACATTTTTAGCAAAATGTGCCATTGGGGGATGAAACAACGTAGGGCCTGATGAGCCCATGGATGAGCCCAATTTTCTTCTGTCTGTTTCAAACATTTGGAAAAAAGATTGACAACAATTTAAAACCCACGCTGTAGTAATACGATGCACCAAAACGTGTGGAAAACTAAGCATGCCCTTTCATTTTATGACAGGGTAATGTTGATCTGTGAGATCGGGCAGCCGATAAAGGCCAAATTGAATCTTCTTTTCTTAGTAAAAGTTATTCTATTTACAGGGCTTGATCCAAATTTATTGCAAACACCCCGGAAATCCTCAGGATGATGATTAGTTTAACTGAATTTAACAGATTATCTTGATAAAAGTTGGATTGATGGTAGGTTGACAACAAAGAATGCATTTCATCGGCCTTCTTACTGCTTTGAAGACTCCTGTTGCAATTATAGAAAAATCCTGAAGCCAGACCAAATGGGTTGAAAATTGAAAAACAGAGAACAAAATGAACCTGCGCACACGCACGTGAAAGTGTACACACGCGTGACAGCGTTTTTTTCAAACGGCCTGTTTTGACCCTGGACCTGGCTGTGCCCAGCGACTCCTTTCTCTGTGTCCCCAGCACATTCCCACGTGCACGCTCGCAAAGACTAGCGTGAAATCTGAGATCCTCTTTTAGAACCGATGATAGATGTTTACTGCAACGCCAGAAAAAAAAAAGAGCTTGTAAACGAAGCAGAAGTCATTCGAAATACACGGCATATGGCTCTTGTTTTGGCACGTCTGTGTCACATTAAAGTTTGCATCACGTTTTCCCATAAACCCCTCTTCAGAGGGTCCTTAAACCGGCTGAGTTTTTGAGATTTATACTCGCATCTTATCTGCTTGTAAAAAGGGAATACGTACAGACTGGAAGTGCAATCATTATGCAAGGTTATCGTGATGGGATTCAGTTTTTCTTTGCTCAGTCTATTGAGAGCAAGTGGCCTATTTACATGTGAATTCCTCCTGCAGCCCTGCTCAAAGTAAAGAACGGGGCCACCTGCAAGGGGAGAGGGGGGGTGGAGATGCTGTGTGAGGATCTAAAGAAGAGTGCTCATGTTTCCTCAGCGCACAGAGGAGGAGGCGTTTCATTAATCCCTCGGCTACAGAGGCACAAAGAGAGAGAACTCTGCCAAAGTCAGGTGGAATAAGCAGAAACTAAACTTTGGTTCCTTATTACAGCTGCTAAGATTTTGTATTTCAATTAAAATGCTTTTCAAGTTGTTTTCCACTTTGTTTGTTTGTTTGTTTTTTGTCTGGTCTGATATGAACGAAGAAAAATTTAGGAAAAACTGCAGTTGATGGTGCATAGAAGATATTCAAGATGTCGGTTAGTGAACGAACGAATGAACTATCTGGATTCCCAGGACTCCATCTTCATGTTTCCAGCATTGAAGGAGAAGATCTATGACTTGTAGTGTGTGGAAATGAGTAAATTAGTCAGTAAATGAGTCAGAAGAGCATTTTCATTCCTCCCTTGTAGCCTGTTTTTTTAATTTTCCTTTACTTTTTTTCAGAAATATGACCATAAGTTATAGTTTTGGCTCAACTACTCAGGGTTGTGGCATTAAGATTTCATACCATGCTCAAATGTAATGCCTCTGAGAGAAAAAAGAGCCAGATTTGATATCCTACAGTTGCATTTGGCTTTTTCATCATTCTAACATGCATTGTCTGCATTAAGGCCACGATTTCCATACTCCAACTACCTGCAATCTCACATCGATTCAAGCAGATTCTTCCTATTTTCTGTGGAAAAAAAGGAAGAATCTACTTGAATCGAAAGAGGAAGAAAGATAAAACTGACTTTCCAATATTTATTAGTTCTCTTTTTTAGGAAACCAGTGCCAAAAGCAGTAAGTGTGACTTCACCGTCTCATTTTTTTTTTTTAACA